AACTTTAGAACATACCTCAGGAATAACAGACTTGACACCTGCTAGAATATGAGAACATTTAATCCTGTTTCTTCAATAACTTATGGAAAACATACTAAACTTTGGAACATACCTAAGGGATAACAGACTTGACACCTGCTAGAATATGAGAACATTTAATCCTGTTTCTTCAATAACTTATGGAAAACATACTAAACTTTGGAACATACCTAAGGGGATAACAGACTTGACATCTGCTAGAATATGAGAACATTTAATCCTGTTTCTTCAATAACTTATGGAAAACATACTAAACTTTGGAACATACCTAAGGGATAACAGACTTGGCACCTGCTAGAATATGAGAACATTTAGTCCTGTTTCTTCAATAACGTATGGAAAACATACTAAACTTTAGAATATACCTAAGGGATAACAGACGTGGCACCTGCTGGAATATGAAGACATTTAGGTAGAAAGGGATAACAGACTTGGCACCTGCTGGAATATGAGAACTTTTAGTCCTGTTTCTTCAATAACTTATATTCTAAAGTTTAGTATGTTTTCCATAAGTTATTGAAGAAACAGGATTAAATGTTGTCATATTCCAGCATGAGCCAAGTCTGTTATCCCTTAGGTGTGCTCTAAAGTTTAGTATGTTTCCATAAGTTATTGAAGAAACAGGACTAAATGTTCTCATATTCTAGCAGGTGTCAAGTCTGTTATCCCTTAGGTATGTTTTAAAGTTTAGTATGTTTTCCATAAGTTTATTAAAGAAACTACCTAAATGTCTTCATATTCCAGCAGGAGCCAAGTCTGTGATCCCTCAGGTATGTTCTAAAGTTTAGTATGTTTTCCATAAGTTTATTAAAGAAACTACCTAAATGTCTTCATATTCCAGCAGGTGCCACGTCTGTTATCCCTTAGGTATATTCTAATGTTTAGTATGTTTTCCATAAGTTTATTGAAGAAAGGGGACTAAAAGTTATCATATTCCAGTAGGGGCCAAGTCTGTGATCCCTTAGGTATGTTCTAAAGTTTAAAATGTTTTCCATACCTTATTGAAGAAACAGTACTAAATGTCCTCATATTCCAGCAGATGCCAAGTCTGTTATCCCTTAGGTATATACAAAAGTTTAGTATGTTTTCCATAAGTTTATTGAAGAAACAGGACTAAAAGTTCTCATATTCTAGCAGGTGTCAAGTCTGTTATCCCTTAGGTATGTTCCAAAGTGTAGTATGTTTTCCAATACCTAAGGGATAACGGACTTGGCACCTGCTGGAATATGAGGACATTTAGGTAGTTTCTTCAATAAACTTATGGAAAACATACTAAACTTTAGAATATACCTAAGGGATAACAGACTTGGCACCTGCTGGAATATGAGGACATTTAGGTAGTTTCTTCAATAAACTTATGGAAAACATACTAAACTTTAGAATATACCTAAGGGATAACAGACTTGGCACCTGCTGGAATATGAAGACATTTAGTCCTGTTTCTTCAATAACTTATGGAAAACATACTAAACTTTA